TTACCATCTTAGTGTGTTGGAATGTTAATATTTGTTAACACCAAACACAAAGTACAGCTCAGTCTGATGGGAATGCCATCAGTTTTGCAGGTATTTGGTCATAAACCATAGTACTGGACAAGGGATGAATGTCTGTATAAAATGTCATGGCAATCCATATTTTAGTTTTTGAGCTTTTTCAGGCTGGCCCAAAATGGTGGACCAACTTACCAATCACTCGACACTGCTGTCTTGAGAGCCACGCTGCTACCATGGCAAATAAATCAGTTCATACATCATAAAACACTTTGAATGGTGTTATTTGGTTTGGTATCGTGTTCCTAATTTCAAACCTTCAGACTATCATCACATTAAATGAGCTTTAGCATTACATGTACTTTAATTCCTTTCTCAAATTTCAATATTTCTTTCAAACAAAGCAGAGCCGTTGATTGCTGAATCTGACTTATAGAATAATTGGCTGTAAAGCTAACTGCTCATGATGTGAGCCCAAATATTGAAACATTTTTTACCCTCTCTCTCCATCGTTATTCACTTTCTTTGCATGGTGTCTCAAAATCATATATTTAGCACACAAAAGAACCAGAAGAAAATACATTTTGCCATGATGTAAGAAATCTTGAGGCCTGTTACTACTTTTTTGGGAAGGAGAAATGTCTGTATTCATGTTGTAGTACCCGTGGAATTGTGAATTTGACATGCTGCCGGGGCTGAGATTTTACCCAACCCAACAATATTTGGATTTACAACTAAAATTCAACACTGTGTAAATGTATAAAAAAGCTATAAACAATGAAATAAAGGTATACTGTTCTGTTGTGTTGTTCCAGGGTGTGATTTATAAATTAGAGGCAGTTTTACTACATTAAATGTCTGCCTAATCAACTAGCTCCCATGATGTTTCCTTCCCACTGTGGTTTGAATATCACCACTGAGACTCATTACCTTGTTAAACTGCACTGAAGCAGGTAATGTGGATCTTTGTGGATATGATTTCTGAGTCAGAGATGATGTTGACCTTGACATAGTAACATGGAGTGACATTAATTAATTTCTCGCATGTTCTATTCACAGTGCGAGTGGGCTGTGTGTTTGCGAGTGACTTGGCCCTGGTATATTAGAACGTATCCATTTAACAAATGTTTTCTCTGGTGTGACTCATCTAAAAATACACAGATTTCTGAGGTAACAGCACATCTCATCTCTGGGGATAACCAATGATTCTCACGAACATAAATAACAAAAGGTAGAGAAATTGGGTGGTTCGCATCATACTTTTTAATCTGTTTGTGAACAGCAAATTAAAAGGCAAATAGTAAATGGGCTGAAATAATAATTCGGTATTCTTCAGAAGTGACACTCAGGTTATATTCAGTGTGTAGGACAGTAAAAGCACTTTTACGCTGTCCTAGTCAGACTAAAAAGTTTTTCCATGCCTGTTTCTCACTGTCGGCACACACAAGAGGCTTTTTAATAGCTCAGGATGAGCACTTTATAATGCAAGTGTATGGAGAGACGAGAGGGGAGACAAAAGACGTTCTACACTGTGATTCAGGGAAATTGTCTCCTTCTCTTTGTGTGCAGACAGCCAGGAGAGAGTAATGCATCAATCACAGCTGTCCTCTGCAGCCCTGCTCGCCTCCCTACATCCTCATTCACAGAGTGAGCTCAGCTTTGATCACAGTGTTTCAATATTGTGGTTGTATCCTTTCAGTTTTTTCCACTGCAAAGCTATCATTGATCTGATTATCCCCTGGCAAATGCTGCATGCCTCACTTTGACCTAAAAAGGAAAGCATGAATTAATCCACAGAGAAAGTTGTACGATTAATTTGTTATCAAGCCACGGTGCACCTTTTGTGCACGGTTACTGTCCAAAAGCCGGTGTCAAATGCAACTTCCAGATCCAATTCTAACACTTTTAGCAAGGTCTATTGTGAGGGTGATGTCAGCTACACCCTCTCATCCTCCACCCCAGGGATACTCCCATAAGAGGCCTTATGGGAAGGATTGAGAGGAGTCCTGTGATTGGAGCTTCCTGTTATCTCCTAACCACAGCAACACGGCTGGCAGGACCCCTGTTTCTGCAGAAAACTGGCACTTGTGTGGGTTTTCTGAGGTGTACATGTGACTTTGTGTGTGAATGTCAAGAACTGTATTTGCATTCAAATGCATGTCTCAGAGTGCCTGTCTGTGCGTGTGATATAGGAAGTGTGGATATAAATATTTTAGAGAAAATACAAAGGCAGAATGTTGTGTGAGAAATGCTATAGCTATAGTTTAAAAATTCCATTAAAATGACACTTTCACATGTTTATGGCTGGGATTTGTACAACAATAACATAATCCAGCAGAAACAAAGTGCAACGATCTGTGAAATATTGTGTGTACTGTCTTTTCACATTATAATTACATTGTTCCAATGTACAATTACACCAGACCAGGCGTATCAAATCTCCATCTTCTCAAGTCATTTATGTGTATAACTGAATCCTATAAATCTTGTTTTCTGCTCGTGTTATATGAATATTGCAACCTGTTTCCTGTACACAACAACATGTTTCAAGAATTTTCTAGATGTGAGTGCAGGTTGGTACACTAGAATATTGAAACATTTTACTTGATCAGAACATGCCTGCTAGAATATAGAGTGGATCTGCATTGGAAATAAGCTGAAATATTTCGGCACTGGCAGATTTTAAAGACTTTAAAGCTGCATGGATCAATAATTTTATATTAACTATGAATCAAAGTGACTGCTCACAGTGACGAATCCACAGATAATTATCACCCGCCTCTGCAGTCCTCAGTTCTGGAGAATGTTTTAGCCACCTTCAGGTCGTTATTTTGACTTTACAGAACGCAACTTTACTCTCACTCATAGGTGGAAATCCCATGGGGTCGGGGCTAGCTTGTTTGGTAGCTTGTTTAACGGCTTATTGGACTGCAAGTCGCTTTCAACAGCTAGAGATTCACAGATTGATCAGCTGGGGACTGAAATAGGACGTTTTTTGAGGGGGAGGTTTTGCGAACAAATATCCAATTTTCTGCTGGTCACATTGAACGTTAGAAATCTCATATCACAGTCACACTCACACATGCTAAAACATGTCTTAGGTGTATGGAAGTTATTCACAAGAGTGAAGAGGAGGCAACGCTTACTACATCTGCAGAGAAACACACAGAAAGAGATGCTGTGGATATGTTGTGGATATTATCAAGCATGGACCAGGTAATGCAACAGTGAACACAGCTGGTGGTGACGATGTCATTCAGACCATAGTGGTCTCGATCGGTAATTATTAACAACAAGCCTCCTCCACATGTGGCTCATCTGCTGCTGGGAAAACGGAATTGCGGGTGAAAAAATACCAAACGCGAGTTCTTTTAAATAAAACTGTTGACAAATAAAGTCAGAGCAGACAGAGAGAGAGAAAGAGAGAGACAGACAGGTGTAGATGTGTGCTTGTGTGTCTGACGGGAAAAGCAAGGCAGATTACTGTTGTTTAAAAAAAACACAAAAATGAGATGGAGAATCAAGTAGAATTAAAATGGTGAGATAAGAAATAGGATACTGTCTTCTTTCAAATATTTTTAAGCAAAATGTATTTAAAAATGGCTTAGTTTATAGGCTACTGCAATTTATTTTCAGCTCCTTCTAGTGAAAATTCTCATGTTATTTTATAATCAGTGTTTCAGAGAAGAGACGTCCTCTTACTTAGGTAGAGTTACTTGCGTCTAACTTGAGTCCTCTACTCTGTGCAGGATGCAAGTTAATTAGGATAATATGACCACGCGGTGAACCTATGAACGTAAGTCATATTTAAACAACTATTGCTTTGTGTTGTTGGCCAGAAGAAAAGTAGTAAGACGTCCCTCTGTGTGCACGTATCCTATACAAGTACAATTTTGGCTGTATTATTTGGGTCCCCTTCAAAAATTGCTCTTGAGAAAGTTTATGTTTATTGTCCCCCCAACTGTTAGATGAAATTTACGTCCAGGGTCTCACTCATTAACTTTGTTTTCACTGAATGCTACCTGCTCAGCACATAAAAGCAGACACACATAGTGAGCAACTAGCTGGTGAACACAGGGGAACATTTAGCTGCTAAAGATTCAGTTATTTACCTCAGGATTTGATGGAGACCAATACAGAGGGACAGTGAATATTGGAGTTATATTTACCAGGTGGTCAGAAACACGACTCCAGATGATTCTAAGTTGCTCCGTGTGTGCTAGTTGTGTAAATAGGAAACTGTTAAAACACTCACCATATCAGCCATTTAATATGTTAAGAATGTGTTCATAGCTTATGGCGCTGAAATGTTTCATTGATAAGGATTTTTTTTGCAGTGTATTTGTTATCTTGGCTGGAGTTAGTACTAATTTAACTGAACACACTACACAACTTCTGTACTATTGATTTTTGCATCTCACATTCTTATCAGCAGTGATGAAAGCTGCAGCTTCTCATCTTTGCTGTAAGTGGCACTGACCGAATGCACTGCCTCGAGAGCTACAACACCCGTTTCCAGGTGCACAGAGAGCCAGTCCTGCTGGGTGTTAAATGCAAGCGCTGAAGCTTCAGGAAAACTCGCTGGAAAGTCTCACATCCTCATCCATTATTGATAGCGCCTTAAGCCTTCCTTGTGCTCCGGATGACAAACTAAAACCAGAAGTGGCAACTCTGTAGCATAATACTGAAGGAAGGATTGTGTTTGAAATATGAATTTCACTCGCCTGTCCTGCAGTGAGTCATCCTTTGATGTCCCATCAGTGTGTTTGTAGGGAATAGCAATTAGCTACTAATAAATGATGTCAGTGGTGAACCCTGTCCCAGATGGTTAGTGAGGAGAAGGGAGTTGAAGGTTAGGAGTCCAGGGCTACGGCTCTGTGTCGTCGTGCACAAGTGTTTGTCTACTCAATTATAACTTTCAGTCAGTTTAATTAACCTAAAATCAACATTAGCAGCTGAGTGCTGAGGTCAGGCAAAGGACTTACATTGGCAGCTCATTTCTCAGAAGCCTCGATCTGAGTAGGAGGAAGTTTCCTGAAAGAGACAGAAAGAGGAACACTGTGTCAGTGTTTATGTGTGTTACGAATCCATACAACTGTGTCATGCTTTCCTTGTTAACTGACAACCTGAGCAAACTTCACTACAGACACACACCCACATGGACAGACACAGAGCGAGAGGATAAGGCTTTGCCGTGCAGCATTGCGAATCATGTTAAAATAATCTGATTGAGAACCAGTGCTTCAGGGCAACTTGTTTTCAGGTTCAGGACAGCAAAGTGTCAGTAAGCAGCTCCACCTTGTTGTCTACTTTACTCTTCCCTGCCCTACTTTCTCTCTCTCTCTCTCTCTCTCTCCTGTTCCTCCTCTCCCACACCTTGGAGAGTAGTACAAAGGCACCGACTCGCTTTAGCACATTTCAATCACAGCAGTCTCCCACTCATACATATTCCAGTCACTGCAGTGTTATAGAAGCAATGACAATGTTGGATCAGGGCTCTTTTCACCTCAGGCCTCCGCAAACAGTCATACACTCACCATGTGTCTTCTCTGATAACACCACACGGTCCACACTGAAGAGTTTGATCTGTGCGCAGACACAAGATTGAGCATGTGCATCTACAGTATTTATGTGTATGTGAGTGTATGCTTGAGTTTATATCTATATCTTGATGCCCTTGTTAAGTGTACATTACAGCCCCGTCAAACACACTGCAACAACACTGCCTCTATTTTCTTTTGATCATTTCCACTGTCAGAGAAGGAGTTCAAGCTTCTCAGCATCAACTACAAAGGCCCAAACTTTGACAAGTGCCATCTAAAATCTGTGGGAGAACGACTCTCTGAGGTCATACATCAAACTGCTTCCAGGCACTCTTATTTTGCATTATGGATTCCCCTTTTCCTGAAAAAGTCAGTAAGAAGGCGCCTTTGTTCATCGGTCCCACAAGCACTAAAATATACAGTGTGTAGAAAGGTATGACCTTGATGTTAATATTCAAATGCAGTGTTTTATTGTTTTTTTCTCTAGCACATACCCAACTCACGGCATGAAAAATGTTGGATATTCCCTTTGATATTTTGCGCATTCATCTGTTGCTAGTCTTTGATGGTGGCAAACACGCAAGGATACTCAAGAGAGTGGATAGCACATAAACACCAGAAGAATTCAGTGCAAAAGAACACAACAGTATCCACATATGAACCTGTTCCTGTTTTTTAAATGTGCACGACACATGGACACATATCCATGACGTAAAAGGGTGTTTCCAATTCTACACACAGATCTTTATCAGCTCTTCTTGGACCAACACAACCTCAACTCTCTGCATATCTGCAGATCCATCAATAGAGGTTTGGTGTCTGCTTTGATTTTCACTTCAAAATCAAAGCAATCCACACAAACACTGCTGCCCCAGTGTCTCAACAAGGCAAAACAAAATGTCATGTTCCTTGACCCAGACCATTCAGAATTGCCTAGACACACCACTCTGGCCCAAACATCCACAACTATTGTAATATTTGTTAAAACAGTTACACCACTGTGGTTAGCTTTGATATTCCGGACAGAGTCAACAAACACAAAACTCAAAAGTGCTGTGACCTTTTGCAATAAAATGTCAAAAAAAATTGCACAGACACACAAACACACACCGCTTAAGTGTTAAAGGTCATCTCGGTGTCGGCTTTGAGAAGAAGACTGACAAGAACAAGAACACATCACCTGTTAGTTACCATTATAAATATGGCTCACATTAATTGTGCACAGAGAATAAAAGTGTGATTTTAAACTGTATAAGATAAAAATAAATTTGATAAGGGGTAAAGTTGATTCTCCCTCTCTTCCCCCATGTACAGCTGAAGCAACATCAAGAAGCCATTACGATTCCTTACATGTCCTGGGAGAACAGAAACTCACATTTTTAAGCCCATTCATGAAGCACAGATGAACTTTAATAGAAGACAAATGAAAGGCACTTTATGGAGTTTTGGGGATTGAATCTGGAATGAGATTCATGCCAAACCACTTCTCTTGCTTCATGGCCCGCTGCAGATTCGTAGGACTAATGTCAAACTGCACTTCACTGCATTGGGCTTGTTGGGACAGAGTAAGATAAATTAGAAATGAGACTGGGAAACAGATTGAGGCATCAGGCCAGAGGGAACTGCTAATTGTGCTCTTCATTTCGGGAATGCATTATAAATGTCTGTAAACTGGCCGTGGAAAATCTCTATCACTGATGGAAATTGGCCCCAATTGAGAAACAATTACATTAGACTAGATATTTTGGATTTTGCATCTAAATTGAGTGCATTGATGACCGCAGCAGATATCTCACAGATAAAACAGATTTTATCAGCAGATAAAACACAACAACAATTCTACAACATACATTTCAAATACAGGAACTGATTACAGGGCACAGCCTGTACAGATGTAGGCCTCTCATGCCTAACATAGCTTTCAATACTTATTCTGATGTAATTCAAAGTGAAAAAATCCTACTTTTCCCCTAACAGGAAGTGGGTCTAGATGTGATAATAGTCTCTGTGGTCCCCCGGTAAGGATTAATGTACAATGCGTGTCACTGTGGTCTGTTCAGGGACACTCCAATGCTGGTTAAAGCAGGGAGTTCTGTTCATATTTGCAGAGGTTTAAGAATATCTCATAGTGTTGATTTGGTTTTTAAGATTACAAATGTTACCAGAGGTAGGCTGTAACCTTTTGCAATAAATTGAAACTGTAACAGTAACTTTAATGCAGCATACATTTCACTCATGCTCAAATTCATTATGGTTGAAATATCACCAACAACTATTGGATAGATTTACTTTTACTTCTGTTTAGATATTCATGGAGCCCAGCAGAAGATGAATCCTACTGACTTTGAAAATCCTGTGACTTTTACTCTAGCGACATCATGAGGTTGAAATTTGGTTTTAAATGAAATGTCTTGGCAACTATTGGATGGACTGCCATTAGATGGTGATCTCGTGATCCCTTAACGTTTCATGCAGAGTCATCAGGTTATAATTTGTCCAATACTATGGCCAAATACCTGCAAAACAAATTATATTCCCATCAGCTTCAGATGCACTTTGTGCCTAAGTAAGCTACAGCCTTGCAGAGACACCATGAACGCTTAGTCTCCCCCCAATATTTGTCAAGTCAACACCAAAACACCAAAACGGCCCTGCGATGGATTGGCGACCTGTCCGGGGTGTACCCCGCCTTTCGCTCGATGTCAGCTGGGATTGGCTCCAGCCCCCAGCGACCCCGTACGCAGGATAAGCGGTTGACGATGGATGGATGGATGGATGGACAGACACCAAAACACATTGGATAGTCAGTGAACACCTGCTTCATGGTTGTGTTCATGTCACCAGCAACAGTGTCTGTTTAAATCGCAGCATCACTGATGCACATAAACATAAAGCAGCATGTTACTGCTGTTGTTGATGAACCCATCTGGTCAGATGGTTGTCCATGTAACAGACTGGAAGATGATCTGAGTTTCTCTCATTTACTCCTTTGAAAACTGTGCCTGTGATTGATTTGTTACTAAACTGTGTCGCTGTGAACTAACTGGGTTATCAATGTGTTGCAGGTCAAAATGCACACACACTCGCGGGTGGCAATTCTGTGCACCCGACCGTGCAGTGTCTGTGGTGCACTCTGTGTCCTGGGTGTGTTCTGCGTTTTACTGAACATGCAGCTGCTGGTTAAAGACTTAATACTGAATATACAGAGAAAAATCATTGTATTTTGTTGTTTTTACTAGTGCAGTGCTGTTCACAGGCGCTGATGTGTACCTCCATGCGCTATTTAGTGCAGTGCATGTTCAAAATGTGCGTCTCACATTGGTTTCACCTAGAGCATTAATAAAACTGAAACAACACGACAATGGCAAAGATACTGCTAGATATTCAGCGCTTCCTTAGAACTTCATAAAACTCTTATAACTCTGTTTCAACACATTCGTTTGTAACGTATATCAAACCTGCGTGATGACGATAACTCAGTTTCAACAATTCACTATCTGCGAGCTTACCCCCGCCCTCACTGTTGCAGAGACAAGCTGCTTGTGCTGTACATTAGCTTATTCAAAATCTATTCATTCTGCACGTGTGGCGTGTCCAAATTGCATCAAATGCGACACCGCACTCCTTTGGGTCTGCAGCAACACACCTGTGTGCCATGTGTTAGGTCGATTGGATGAATGGTTCTCGAAATAATCAAAATAATATAGTAATACCACCTATCTATTCTGGATTAATTCCAAAATGCATGGACAAGAGCTAAAGTTGTGGAAGTAATTGGCTCTAAATCAAACAATCCCTTGTCGTCACTTCTCAACCATGAAATACAATTACTGCAGGACCTGAAGGTCAATGTGTCTAGGTGTGTTATCCAGCAAACATTGATTATTCAAATGCTCTAACCCATGTCTGTAAAATGTGCACACTGTTACATAAATGTTGTCAAAACTATATTGGGCTGAAGAGGAAAGAGCTGGTGAAAAGGTCAACAGACATGAGAGTCCTTCAGAAATCTGTTGGGCCATTTCATGAAGATGAGGATGAGAACTTCTCCTACTTACACAATTTATAGCATTCAGTGAGCAGATGGAAGGCAACTTGAGTGTGAATGAAGATGAATCCCACAAGTGAGGCAGTGTGACAACGCTTTTGGAAAGAATCACATGCTCATTCCAAAAATCTGGAAATGCATGTTATAATTATGGTAATGACTCAGTAGCTGCCAGCGGATATGGCAACTGGATTAACTGTGGTCACTGCAATAATGGAAGTTGAGTGAGTGAGTGTGTGTGTTTGTATGTGAGAGGTGTGAGTGGATATGATAATAAAATGTTCATTAAATCAGTCAATTTATTAATGTTCATTTTGAAAATAGTCCTTTTGATCTTGTTATAAAGACAGTTTTGGTAATATCAGTTTGAAACCAGCAGAGGCAGCTTCCCCTGTGAGATTTATTATTTCATGAAGAGCTATGATTTGATGATTTGATGATTA